TCACCATAAACTAACTCGCGTGTAAGTAACCGTCCCTGCTGTGGAGCACACGGTTAACATCGTCGGCCACGATGGTCGAACTATCATGTGCGTGTGGCATACGTAGAAGAGCCTTTCACGCGACACCGGGCATTGCGTCCAACCTCACTGCCAGTCGACTGAAATGCCCGAAAAGTCCACTGTACCTACATACTTGTACTTGATACGGCTGCGATAATGCCTGATCTAGCCGGCCTCGATGATGTCACGAACTGTACCTCTCCACGCGTGACGATCCGTGGCAGCAGATCTGGACAGCTCAGCCCATTCTCGTCGCCAACGACAGAGACCGTTGAGTAGCAGAAAGCGCGACGGGGTGTTGAGTACTTACGATTCAGTGTGAGGCCAGGAGGGAATAGGCTGTGGGAAGTGACAAAACGACGGGAAAATGGCGTGGTCAAAAACCACCCGTAGCAGAGGTGGCCTGGGGGATTATATCGCAGGAGGACGGGAGGTAGCTATGAGCCAGACCAACCCGAAACTCCTACAGGTGCTCCAATATTGTATCCTTAAAAATACTACATTTTACGGGGAGATAGACTCTCACTAAACGGTCATGGCGGATGGGATTTTGGGGATATTTGCCGGGATCGGCCTGCTGAGATGTATGAATAGGAAATACCCAATCAGTCAGCGTTATGACCTCATCTATGCAAGCAATTTCCTTTGAAGTAATGCGAACTGCTCTTTCAAAGGGTGTACGAATTTGCAGCTCACGCTATGGTGGCTGCTATGGCCTGCGGGCGCGTGACTCAGAGTTGCAGGTAGGTCGCGTTCACCAGGCCACGAACGCCATCCCCCACCCCCTCCGGTCGCCCACGTGACTCGACTACCGTCGCCGTCTCCAATGCGGTGTTCGAGTCACGCGACTTTCACCGGAGGCCACAGTGGCATAATATGCAAATATCGCCTGGGAATACATGCGGAACCCGCGGCCGCCACCGCAGTTGCTAGCCCAGTCACATAGGCAAGCAGAACGAATGCAGAGGGTGCACACAGTCCGTTTATTTATCCATTGCAAAATTTCCCGAGCCCTGTGGGACCTATTTTTAATAGCTTGGCAAAATGTATAATTTCTCCTACACGAAAAACGTACAGCAGGCAGTGCAGGTGTAGCTGCCGATTGGATGAAAAATTATTTGTAAATTTAAAAAAACCTTAAAACATAAAGATACCCTTTTTGCGTGTAGGATTTGAAGAGGGCTAAGTTGCTAGCAAATTAGTACACAAAAAAGCATCTTTGTGCATGTTCTCCGCAAGGTATGTGTGAATTACTAAGGATAACAAAATTCACGGGGGAAATTCATACTACTTAAGTGGTCACCTTATACCGAGTGTGGTTTCAGCAGGCAGCCGAAAACAAATTCATTCAAAGGCCAGCATCCAGGCGTAGTTGAATATCTTGAGATTATATTACAAGAGGACCAATACTACAACCCACCTAAGTATTCCTTTTTAATTGAAGGCATATTTCAGAATTTCAGTCGACATTTCATGAAATAAGCCAGCTACCTTAAAAGCGCACAAGAACCTAAGCATTCGGGTTATCCAGGCCCGAATTTGGGCAGGGTTGGCCGATGACGGTCTTCCTTGTCTTTATCGGTACACCTTCCTGATTCTGTTGTGGTCGTTATGCCACTCCCCGTGAGGGCTCCAAATTAAGCCCCAAGGCACTACGGAGCGAGTACGTCCCTTAACCTGATCGGTGAGCGCTCTTTCAACCATGACCAAATATCGGTCGTCTGTGAACGCGCCGGATGGGCAGCAATTGGAGGAAGAGGCAGGCACCGCCTTCTGTTGATAGCCAGTACAGGCGGACCGTATCGCCTTCCTGCGGCATAATCCCACTTTTGGAAATTTCAAGCTTTTCCTACTTGTCAAAAGTTCAGCAGTGTTTTTAGGTAAAAGTCGTTCTAAACGGGACTAGTGAAGGCTGAGTTAAATGTTGACAAGGGCCGTGTAACTTAAGCGACGAATGATCATCATCAACGTACGCAGGCGCTCTGCGGCTAAGCTTCCATCTGAAGGCACCGCAAGTGCGAGAGCCAATTCCCCAAGGCAGGTTAACATACCTCTCTTTCTTCCTGGCCAAATGTAGTCCGCTGTCACTACAATTACGTATAACAGCATCAACAGCAGTGTGACACTGGAACGACGCGCGCGGGCATTTTCGGCCTGCCCGCGGAGTGAGGATGGGCGTGCCAAGCTGCATACGTGGTTTTACTGAACAGCGCGCACGCGAAAGCGCTGCCTAAAGTCACTGGACGGACGGACAGAGCAGACGAAGTCTCGTGGCTGGAGAATATGGAGTCCTGACCCTTCTCTCCCCCCCCCCTCCGCTGGAACGAGTGCTGATCCACAGAGGGAGAGAGCGAGAGAGAGAGGGGGAAAGAGAGAAAGTAGATCGGGAAGTAAAGGTAACTGTGGTAATCTCGGCGGTGCATTGGCAGGTTTAGCTTGAACCTGCCTTATTGAAGACGAGTCAACGGTTCGAGGAGGACGGAGAAGGATTTTAAAGTTCATAAATATGCACTTACAGTGCGTGACCGATCTCATGAAATGTAAGCTAAAATTCTGGAATGCGCTTCCGATTAGGAAGGATTACTTAACTGCGACTGTTATACAGATTATCATACAGCATAACCCGGACTTGCCAGGGTGTCGGCTTTTGAATACACTTCTTTTGACCTCCTGCATAAACCACACTCGGTAAAAAAATGACTACTTAAGTAACATGTATTTTTCCTGTTGATTTTCGATGGTCTTATAAAGTCAAGTATATTTTGTAGAAAGCATGCATACAATATGCTTCCGTTTGCTCATTTGGAAGGAAATCAGATTGTCTTCATATTTTATGCCCGAAGAAAGTGTATATCTAGGTTTTAAAAAAGTTTCCCAATTCCCGAATAATTTTGAGACTGATCTGCCTATGCATCTGCGTCTAGCAATTTCAGTCTACAAGGTGCATGCTTTCCGCGTAAGGAAAGTCATATATTTCCCTATGTCTTTAAGTAGATACCATACAGGGTTCATGAAATTGCGCGATGGATCCGGACTGTCTTGTATATTTCATGAGGGGCACTAGTAAACGGATATGTGCGGTCTTGCATGCATAGACATCGCACGGTCTTAAAAATCTCATAGGAACTTTTCTAAAACCTAAATATACACAACCTTCAGGCATTAAATATGAAGACAATCTGAGTTCCTTCCAAATGCGCAAAAGAAAGAATATTTTGCGCATGTTTTCTATAAAATATATTTAAATTTATAAGACCATCGAACACCGATAGGAAAAAATGTATGCTAATTAAGTAGTCATTTTTTACCGAGTGTGGTTTCTGCAAGAGGTCAGAAAGAGGTGCATTCAAAAGCGGACATCCTGGCGAGTCCGAAATGCTATAGTGTTATGCTGCATGATAATCAGTATAAAAACCCCAGTTACGTAATCAATCCTAATCGGAGACGCATTCTAGAATTTTGGCCAACATTTTATGAGATCAGTCACGCACTGTACGACTGGGTATGTGGGCAAGAACGGCGGAGAGGGAAAGGAGGGATAGGAGTGAAAAGTCGTTTACAAGAAAAATGCAATACTTAAAACCATAAATGCACGCGAGGGCGTGCAGCGCTTGCAATCATTGCGTTTGCACTGTCAAACTGTAGCCATGCCCGATCTAGCTGACCACACGGATATCGTTAATTGTACTCGCCTCCCCCCCCCCCGGACTCAATGATCTCCGCCAGTGGATCTGGAAGGTTTGCCTTCTCTCTAAGCGACAGCACTGAATACCGGAGGTCCAAGAACCACCTCCGTCTATTGAGAGACTGCGTTGAGCGAGGTCTTGTCTTGACCTCCTCTTAGCAGCCGCCAGGTGGACAGCGACGTCTGATTTAAAGCAGCAGCAGCAACAGCAGTGGACTCATGCGGCTAGCCACGAAAAGTACACACACAACACGGACGCGTATAAAGAAATTGTGTGCCAGTTTTCTACCAGTAGGTATTTACCTTGACTTTTGTGTCCAAAGCCTGTTTCTCCTTGGCCAGGTCAGAGTTCATCTCCCTCAGCTCGGAGATTTCTGCCTTGAGGATTTGGCTGGTGTGACTCATTTCCTCATTGGCCAAACGTTGCTTTGCAAAATCCGACTTTGCGGTAGCGGTCTCCTGGCGAGACTGTTTGAGCTCTGCTCTTGATTGCTGGATGCGGAAGAGGAGGGGGGGGGGATGAAAGTGAAGCTGGAAAACAGTTGAGCAAAGCAACTCGCAGAAACTACGAGCAAAGTTTAACAAGGTCCTAGCGGGAGGAGGGGCGGTAAGACAATGGATACAATAAATGCATCACAAAAGTCCCTCGGCCCTCTCCACAACGTCCGCCTTCAAAGGCGGTCGCTTTGATGTGACTGGTTATGCTGAACGGTTGCTTTAGTGAAAGGGGCTAGCTAAAACAGATCCCCTGTGAGCAGTGGTTGAAGTCGGAACACTCTTTCTGCCTGCAGAAGGCGTGGTGTCCGGAAACACTTCCCCAAACTTGGCAGCAAAGTGACAAAAATGTCGACAACAACTTAGCCACTTAATCGACGAGACAGACAATTAGAGAGTTGTGACAGGTAGCAAACACAGAAAAGAAAGACGAATGTGCATAAGTCGACGTTTGACCTAATGAATTCGAGAGTATTAAGGTCATAGTACAAAAATTGTGTGGATTTGGCCATCTAAACTGGCGGCAGTGTTGTTACAGGCCTAAAAGAAAGCTGATAATCTGCGTCAGACTAATGCCGACTTTAAATCTGATTCGGCTGAGCACTTGTGACCCCCTCAAAAAGAGAATAAAAAGTGTCTGGACAACCATTACCCTCAATGTTCCCTGGTTGTCTTGATGAAGGATTGTCCCTGGGTCATACTGGAAGAGAGAAGGGGGATTGGTGTCGGCCCTACGCAATCTTTCATTGTTATAATCTGACTGAACAAGCCTGGCGCATGCAGTGGAGACCTGGCATGTGTGTGGCACGCGTAGACGGGCTACTTAGCTCTGTCTTGGCATAACCTTGCCACCGAATCCAAGTTGGTGGAGAGGAGTATGACAGATGATGGTCAGATCTGACTCATTACAAGCTAATTCACGCGCAAGTCATCGGCGCTGCGCGCACTCCGTGAGGAACACGGTAGACTCCGTCGTTTGCAACGATCACGGTCATTATCAGACTGGAACGCGCTCAAGCTGGTGGAGAACAACTTTACCCCTACGATCCGCAACTAGGACGTCATGGTTCCCACTTAAGGTACCCTTGACTGAGAATCTTAAAAACATAACCCATGAGAAGATGAGGTGTCGTTCGGTCGGTAGTGTGAACCAACCCGTGGATGGTACACGAGGATGCGCACGAAATATCAGTCCCAGTCCTACACCCAAACTCACCCTCAGCCGACTTGATTTAGTCCTTCTGATAGGAAGACGATAGGTTTGAGAAAACAGAATCATCGATGCTGTGCAGCCCTCCCGCTCCCCCCCCCTCCCTTTACGATATGAACCCCGTCCATGTCGTCAATACCGCCACAACAGCGATAACAACGGGACGCGATGGACGAGGAAATGCGAAAGCAGGGGGAAAGGAAGACCTTGAGGCTGTAATTGATCCGAAACCAAGGGGGTGGTTCTTAAGTCGTAAATCAATCCCTGGGTAAACCGCCTCGGCCAGAGAGCTATTCAGACAGTCGGACTTGATGAACGCAGGTGTGACACTGAATACAGATCACGTGGTCCGGAAAGAGCACGGCCAAGCGAATGGCGACTTTTTGTCAGAAAAGTGAGGACAACGGAATATCAATTCAACCGTTTATTAGTATTCAGGACGTTAGAATTCTGCCCGGAAGAATCCTGCAGATATTGAAGTCTTGCCGTTCAAAAGAGAGACATTGGAGCAGCAGTTTTTGTCTACTTGTGATCATCAGTCAGCGACTCACAAAACCCAGGTCAGACGACTGAGATCTGAAACCAACTCAGTCCACGCTCATCCACGTCCTGTCGGCTTTGATAGGAACTGTGCGGCCATGCGAAAGTGACCTGAACCAGCCTATCCTCATGGCTTGAGTCCGGTTATCAGAACATTTATAAAGGTCCGCAAGCCTGACCCGTGGCAGCCACGTTTCGAGCTTCTAACCCGCAAGTCTTAGGCTCAACTTCTACTCTGAATGAAGAGCAGAAAGTGGTGAACTGCAACAGTGGCCGACGGGTTCAACCCGGCGCAGTAGATTAATTCCGTACTAGCCGGTAAGAACCTTGACTTCGCTGGGAATCAGAGGACAATGCAGTCAATGGCACAGCCTAACAAAGTCAGGGAGGACGGCCAGTCATGTCTGAATCCGGTTTCTCTTCCAAACAGATCAAAAGAAGTAGGGTGATGGAGTGATTCACGTTAGTTTTGACGTGTAAAGTACGAACGAGGACGGACGTAAAATTAGGTGTTAATTCCAATTTTGTACAACGAAACGCGCATTTGCAGGCCTTTCCAACTTAAGAATTAGAAGTACATGCCGAGAGCATAAGGCCCTGGGGTAGGGCGTGCTTTTACGCCGTCCTCCACAAAATGTGCCCGAATTTAATGTTCCTACGCAGTAAACCCTTCGAACTACGGTTGGACTGGCTTATAGCTACCTCCCTCTCACCTCCGCCAAGAGGTAGTCCTCTAGAACACCTTTACTATGCTGGCCTCTCTCAGAATGTCAGTACCACGCAGTCACTACTGCTATGACTAGAATTAATAAGAACGGCATGCCAGGCAGGAGTACGGTAATGTTTCGGTTCTGTGCTAAGCTACATCCTACATCAAAACAAGTGTGCGGGTATGTACTGCACTAAGCAGTCTAATGTATCGTGAAATCGCTGGTCAGTATAACAATAGATTTGAATAAGGACGGAAAACTGACTTCGCTGTATTCGCGCACGCTCAAGCTCTACATTCGGCTACTTATGTTCACCCATGATATGGTCCAATGTGTCGCCTTGAGACCTGGTGGGTTGTCGCCTGTTCGCTGGACAGCCCAGACATCAAAAAGACTGATGAAAATCAATTTTGGTGTCCATAAATACCCATTTGCTCTGACAAATACCGACTACTGGGAAAAAAACTAGTGTACGATGGGTCCTATGGGATCGTTGACGCACTGGTTTCACCCAACTTTCTAACGACAGATTTTTGTTGATGTGTGGCCAGCCGGCGAAGGCATCTAGTGGACTCGAAACAGCTTTTGTTTCAGTTTCTTATGTATTTCTCCGTCCTTATACTTCTCTCCCTCCCCGGCCTTCTTTCTGATTTCGTGCAGCATTGAGTCATCCCCCTGTCTTCTTCCACTCTACGATCTTGAGTATTATTTATGCCATGGAGGCTTGCAGCACTCACCGATTTGGGAACAGAACACGAGAACGCAGATCAGCTACGACAGACAAGAGCACCCACGATGGCTTAACACCAAAGCGCCAGGAAACAACTTCCAAGACGCAGACCGAAGAGCCAGCGCGAAGGAACTGGCAATCGAGAACGGTATTAGGATAGTGCGAAAATTAGTAGCATAAGCTAGTCAATTAAGTCTGACGACTATCCAGCAGGGCAGGGAAACTTTGAACTGATTTTCGCTCTTGGGTGTACTCACTTTTACTTGGATCTACTCGCACTGGCGGTGTCACAGACCAGTGCGGCTCACCGCCTGAGATCGACAGAACATGGCCTGAAAGAGTTGTTTAGCGTTTTATTTAATTCAGACACGTCGGGCCATCAATAGTACCTGCTGTTCAAACGATACTCGGACGGCTAGTCAGACTGACCATACCCTGCTCAGCTCAAGGCTTCCTAGATTGTTCTATAATAGCAGACTAATGTGTGGCAATCGAGCCCTCAAAGCAAATAACCTCAAATGTCACCAAAAGGAAGCTTTCTGTCAATGTGTTTCTCCGTTTTTTATGAGAGAATAGGCGGGCATTTAAAGTCCCTTAGAGGCATTTATCAACAGAGAAACCAAGGAAGTGGGTAGCGCCCAAAGTCGCGGTCTTGGGATAGAGCCAGTGCAACCGTTCTCGAATCAGCATCCTCGCCGCAGTCCTGGCTTAGAAGGCTGCAAGTAACCGTACTACACTGTGTGGTCACAGAGTAACCGAGATGTTGCTGTTGCTAAATCGTACACCATTCAGTCATTTGAGGATAACACTGGACGCAAGCCACATAGGCTCATGAAGATATGGTGGGTCAAAACCCTCCGCCCTCCCCAGTACTTTGGGTGAGGTAGAAGTCAGAAGTCGTCGCGCCTTCCCGCGGTATAGGTCACTTTTCTCATCATTTAGTAGCCTCTGCGGCTGAGATACAAGAAAAAAGGCGGTAGAATACGGAGTTTGGATTGCTTTAAATGCTAAATACTAACCTTCAGGGCTTTCTCTAGATGCTTGACCTTGGTCTGCATATCAGTAAGGACGGACAAGTTGGTAGATAACTTCTCAACACCATTCTTATAATTGCAGCAGATGTCTGCCGCGTGTGTGGATGAAATACTAAGCATGTTGTGCGTCCTGTTGTGAGCAAGACCGTTTACGTGGTCGCCGCGTTTGTGTGACTTCCTCTTGGCTTTCACGGGCCTTTGGACTTCTGGGGGTGTGGTCGCCGGGGGTTGCGGAGGACAGTCAACAGGCTCCAGTGTGCATTCGAAACTGGGCATAGGCGGTTCGATAGGCCAACTACATTGCGCGATCTCCGGCTTTGAAGTTTCTTTGGTCTCCACCGGGCCCAGAAGGTCTGGTGACAAGAGTTCTTCGGCCTGGACTGAAGATGTTGAAGGAGTTTCGCGCGATTTCGTGGAGATAGTTTGAGACTTCACTTTATGCCCCTCAGATGGCTTATTTGAACTTTTGGCCGGGGGTGCATCAAGAACCGGCTTAGGAGCGTTAATTGCTGTCGCTGTGTCGGCAGATGCGAGTGAAGACTCCGAAATGCCATCATCGTCTTGTTCGGTCCGCTTCTTCGGCTTTCTTTTTCGTTTCAGAAATTCCTTCTTCGACTGTTTCGACAAAGAAGACTTCCGAGGAGCATAGTCTAGGAAGCTGAACTCAGAGAATCCGGCTCGGAAAGGGTAGAACAGAGTGAATGTCAAAACGCAAACGAAAATGAAGACTCCGATGCCGATTAGGAGTGCTTCAAAGTTCACTGTTATTGCCATCTAAAAAGGAAAGAGCAAAATTTGAATTGTTGTGACTCGGGAAGGCGAGGGTAGATCTTGCCTTCTGGGACAAACACGACTGACAAAAACAACCCGCCTTGTTATAGGATGATCGTGAAAATTAAGGAGCAGAAACTGCACGTAGGGGGAATCGGTGAAACATGAAAATATTTGCCCTTTCGTTTATCATGTGAGGGTGGATCAAAGCATAGCCATCACGAAAATCCATAATTGTGATAGAAAATGGAAGTTCCCAGCGCCGGACAGCACAGATTAAAACTTTCTCCGTTAACCGCCAAAGGATGAAGAATAAGTGACCTACGAGGGACAGTCGGGGAGATATAACCAAAGTGACCATATTGATCCTCCCTGCTGTCTTCAAGCAAGTGAGTCTCAAGATCCACGAGCTCAAACTGGAGTCTGAGGCTGTCGGCGAGCAGGGCCATAGCCTGTGGTATACATGAGCCAGGAGTTTTTACATTAACAAGGGCGTTCAGTGATCAGCTTAGGGTGCAGGCCAAACCACACTCGCTTCAAATGGTGTGCAGCCCAGGCCAGAACCCTCCCCAGGCGCTGCGTGTGTAAAACAACGGAAAGGTGAAAATTTATTCGTTTTGATAAAGCAGGCGGGACATTAAATGCAATGTTCTCAGCGACTGATATAGGCGCGTGGCGACAGCAGAGAGGGGCTGCAGGAGAATGAGGCGATATAGTGCTAGCACTAAATTCGAGCGAAGCGTCATTCCACACCATAAATCGGGCCAAAAGAGACGTTCGACGTAACTATTGCAGTTGCGCACTCTCAAAATAGTATACTCTCTTACAAGTGAGTATATCGCCTTTTTGTAGTGTACAAAAAGAAAAAGAAGAAAAAGAAGAAGAAGAGGAAGAAGAATAAGAAGAAGAAGAAGAAGAAGAAGAAGAAGAAGAACAACAACAACAACAACGAGGAGGAGGAGGAGGAGGAGGAGGGGGAGGAGGAGGAGGGGGAAGGAGAATAGTCTCGCAAAGAGTCAGTCGTAACGAATTCCTTTCGCTTTCGAATCCAGACTACGATCGAAAGTAACATGTCATGTTGTGGAGGCCACTAAGTCGAACCATAAGATCACCAGTTTAATGAAATTACATATTTAATGGAATAAAGAGAGGAAATGGGGAATTAATATTTCTATGAATTTACGGAAACTAAAGCAGGAACCGAAGGAAGTAGAGATGTCGAAACCAAGAAGATGGATTACCCGAAAACAATTCACCGGACAGTCTTATTCATCGTGCGACCATGTGTCTTGAAATGCGCGAACATTTTGACGACAATAATAATTTATTTTTGCGAAAGATAAGCTGGACGACATCTAATTTGCGGATCACTAATGAAATAAAAATTGACCAAACTGTAAGTTAGGCGCCATCAATGTTTGCGAAACGCCGACAAGTGAAAAAAGGTTGCCGTTCACAACAATGGCATTGCTTTCTGAGAGAACACGCATTAACGTATAAGCCTAGGCGAAAGGTTCTAACAAATTGTCGAAGGGATAAAGTGGCGGAGCACGCGAGGCAGTGGGAGATGACAAATAGGCAATGTGCACAAAACACTACAAAAAATGTGAGTTAATCAGAAGTCAAGTGGATTGCAAAGCAAATAAAACTGCTATCTCCGTAAATTAACAAGGGGAGCTCGACCAAGCCATGGTAAGTGAATTCTGGTTTCGAGAGTGTTTATCGAAATTGCAACAGGGACTTAAGATGGATGAATCGAGCCGAGTTCGGTTCGAGTTAGATTGCCATCAGGGCGCCTAGAGACGTTCTCCGATGGTGAGGTTACTAAGGGTTATCGTTAGCTTTCGGGACACCCAAATCCCAAAGATTGTATGAAATGAGCTAGGAAGAAGCTGGACGCATGAGGCTGAAATCGTAATGGCCTGGATATTCGAAAGGATGTATGCGCTTGTTTAGGCGCACTAGCAAACTCCTGGGGTTTGCGGGTATCCCGTGGATAATAAAATTCATTGCGTCACGGAGCCTCGATAAAAAGGCCGAGCGAAACAGACAGAGACGTCGCAGATGTATGCACAATAAATTACAAAGCTCAAAGTTTTCGGTGGGAACGCTCACGAAAGACAGCCACGGTAGCCAGATAAGCGAGCCCGAAGAACACTGAGGCGGTGAATAGTTCAATCACGCCGCGCAGAATTTGACAGACTCAAAGTATGTGTCAGCGTTAACTGTATTTTTCTTACAGATTTTTCCGCTTGAACATACTCAGTTGACAATCTTTTCTTATAATTGCCTGTCAGTTTTCTTATTTCGTGCATTTCAGTTGTCGTTGCGTTGATTTCCCGATTGTGTACTTATATAAGCCACTTAAGGCTGGTTTGCTAGCGCCCAAGCGTTGGAAATCCGGTAGCCTATTTAAAGGTAATACAATAGTCAATAGTTTAAAATAAATGCACTCACAGCTTAAAAAGCGAGTCTATGGGGGGCGGGAAACGAACGGGAAATAGGGAACATCTCGCGCATTTTTTTTTCGAGTGATGTGGTAGAGGTAGCTATCCTGTCGACTGCCACCACGTAGCCACGCCAGAGAGCCACGCCTAGCCTACTTATAGCCTTGTCTCTCCACAGGGCAGGGTACGGTTGACCGCGGATGGTGCTGACAGCAACAGGAGGCCATTAATATTTGAATATCACTACTTCATAGGAGGTCACCAGCTCGAATCAGTCAACCAGTTTAGAGGCCTCGTTGTGTGGATGACGTCAAGTCTCACATCATTGTCTCACTGCGCCAAGCTATCAAGGAAGGCTATAGGTATCCAAGGCGCGATTAGAAGATCCTTCCTTAAATTAGACGAAGAATTTTTTGAATGGTAGGGTGTGATCACCGATCGTTCTTACGGAACCCACTCGTTCCATACTGCATTACGGGCTCTCTCTCGAGCTCAACCAGCAACAGCACAGCGGCACATGATGTAGGCAGCAGGTTATTACCAGTCACCCTTGTCTTTGTCGGTAATACCATACTGAAGAATTTTTGGCCGAGTATTTGGAGCATTTCTTCGACCTATGTTGTAATATTGTGTGCAGGCATGGTGTCCTTGGACGAGAAAAGATTACACCTACTGGAGAACGTACAACGAACAGCGACAAAGCTAGTCGGCGGATTAAATAGCTTGCCTCATGAAAGACGCCTGAAAAAGCTAAAAATATTTCCTCTCCCTCATAGACAATACAGAGGGGAAATGATCATGGCCTTCACGATCGTCCGAGGGCTAGATTGTGCTCTTCAGTTTGACGATTTCTTCGAACTGGCGCGGACGACAAATCTTCGAGGGTACCAATACAAGCTGAAGACGAAATATGCCAAACTCGAATTGCGGGCCAACTTCTTCTCCCACCGGCTGGTTGAAGGAGGGAACAAATTGCGGAACTCCGTTGTCTTAGCGGAAAACGTTGAGACCTTCAAAAGGGGACTAGATAAATTGTGTGGTCGATATTTAAACATTTACACAATATAAATGACTGGCATAACTGCTACGTAAATATCTGCATGTTTTTTTCATACATCTATCGGCAAATAGCATTTTCCAAGGCTCTGCCTATACTCCTCACATATTCTGAATTATACTGAAAAAAATCCATAGTCATATGAATTGTTAAGTGGATTACTTCAATCCTGGTTCTGTCGTAACGCCCAACAGAAAAGACAGGGTTGCTTAAATGTGCAAAAGGGACTGTTGGCGCAGATGGATTCCACAGGGATCGTCAACAGACCACGTGGGGTCGATATGAGGAGTCAACATCAAGAACCGCGAAAATCGTCGTCCTTGGATTAAGGTTCGAACTCGCAGGGGCCGTAGTGGATTCCTGACGAGGGTCGGCGGTTGGCGAAACGGAGGCGACTTAGAGCGAGCATGACAACCTAGTTAAGCTACTTCTTTGATACGATACATCAGGGAGGGCATCATGTCGCGTGAAAAACAAGATGCATGGACTGAACAATCGAAATAATCGAAGTTTCTGGTGATAGATCTTAAAAGGCGAAGCCAACACACAGAGAATGAAGTGTGAGCAGATGCGGTCATTTGGTGGCGGCGTCCTAAATTCCCGGTGGCCCTTCCTGGAAATCGTATTGATAGTTTCCGGGGAGGGATGAGGAAAATAAAAGTCAGATCGAGTCAATATTTAGATAGATGCGCAGCCCTCTCTTAAGAGTATCTAGAATATTTGATTATCTTATATCGCTTGAAAGGCCATTCCAATGGATATTATACCTAGAAGTGAAGATATGAGGGCGCTGGTAGTTGAATGAATCTGGAATAGGTACAACCAAGTCAGAATTGCAAAGATTGTATGGGCGACTACTAGGGGTGAATGCTGAAATCGGAGGAAGATCGAAACTGTTATTAATGGGAACCCATTAAAAATTTAAGATTGGTAATCTGGCATCTATCTGAGTAGGAGATATTTAAATGTTTCATGCCTAAAACTTTTCTAGTAAATCGTCCTTGATGTTTTCTACTTTTTAACGACTAGCCTCGTCCATCAAGCCAACAAATGGGCAACCATTCTCGAGAATGGGATGTAAAATCATATGATAAAGTCTTATTTTAATTTCAGGAAGATAGTGATTGAAAGAAATAAAGCCACGAATCTGTTCAGATTTGGTCGTCATTCTGTCAGCATGTGATCAGCGAGTGATCAAAATTAGTTCTGTAGCTTAAACCTAAATTCTTGATGGCAGTACATTCAGTCATAGGTGTGCCTTGAAAGACCACTGGTTGGGGTAGTCTGTCAGGTCCAAAACACATATAGCGACATTTAGACGGAGAGAATTCCATTATCCATTTTGAGCTCCAAGCTGAGCGAGTAAGCAAGTCAGCTTGGATTTACTCCAGGCAATGAAGGCCCGTAGATTTGTTGAAAGAATATACACATATGAGGCCATCGGCATAAATAAATGACTGTGAATATTTAACTGCAGCCGAGATATCATTTATGTAAAGCAGGAACAAAAGAGGACCTAAAACGGTGCCTCGTAGTACGCCACTTGCAATAGGGTTTTTACTGGAAAGTGAAGATCCCACTAATGCATTTTGTTTGCGATTAGACAGGTATGACCTGAGAAAGTCTATTAGTGGACTGCGAATTCCCATAGCTTCTAATTTAACCAAGAGTCTTTTATATGGTACTTCATCAAAGGCTTTACTAAGATCAAAATAAATAACGACAACAGATAGTTGGTCTTAACGAAGAGAAGTAAGTAGATTGAGAAACGACAGATGACATGTTTCACAGGAGCGATCTGGTAAAAAACCATGCTGGGAAGGGCTAATAACTTGATTGGCTATGCAGAAGTCAGTAATTTTTAAGGCGATAATCTTTTCAAAGTTTTTGGCGAGAGAGGGTGTTTTATGGACACCTCGATAGTTCTGAACGTCAGAACGACAGCCAGACTTAAATACTTGAATAATAATAGAAGTTTTTTAATAGTTAGGAAATAAGCCATTTACGAGGAAGACTGAAAAGAGTTTGCTAAGTAGAGGAGGAAAATCTCTTAGCTGTTTTTTAAGGGAGTTCGGAATAGTGTCCGTACCTTCTGAGGGAGAGTTTGTAAGATGTTTTATCAGTTTTTGAATATTTTCAGGAGAAAAATTAGTCATGCTGAGAAAGGAGAAATTGAATGTATTGGGTCAGTTTCAATCGTTAAATGTTTAGCGAAGAATGAATTTAAAATTTCTGCTTTCCCTGATTCATCTGAAATGAAATTATCGTTTGTACTAAGCAAAGGCGGAATGACTTGGTGCGACTTAGCTGATGATCTTTGAAGGAAGACCTGAGCAACAGGTATAGCAGGATTTGCATCACTAATAGCTAAGGACCCTCTACGCCTATTTCACACGAGTCTCATTTTCGAAGCTAATTAGTATAATTCGACGATTCTTAAATGAACCAATAACGAGATACGGATTGACGTTTGAGCAGCTTCCGTAGCTTTCTGAGTCTGTTTTTAAGAAAATGTAGGACATTGGAAGAAGTGGCATTCGATCTGAACATCCTTACCGGAATGAGATCGAGGTAAGCTTCTGTTGCGCAATGCACTATATCAAAGCAAAAATTTATTTCACTATTTGAAACAATACTGTTCCAGTCGAGAGTGTTTGAAAAGTTATTTTCTAATTCCTTGTTAGCATTAGCGTAGTCAAAAAGGTTGCGTTTTGCTGCTGGCTTTGCAAAAGTGGAAACTGGAGGTCAGAAATTAAGCAATGAATGATCACTTGCAAAAAGGTCACGATGGGAATCCGTGGATGAAGAGAGGATGCCATTAGTAAAGATCAAATCTAATATACTTTCGTTTTCTTTCGAAGAGTGAACTAGTTGATACCAGTTTGAAAAGGGAATAGTATCCGGAATCTTGTGCAATCTAGGAGAGGGAGTTGGTTTATGCCAGTAAATTTCTGGCAAATCAAAATCTCCAAGGATTAATTTGGCATCAGACGAAGTCTCCGCAATTTTTTTCAAAGAGTCCACAGAGTTGGTTTTCATTTCCGGAGTAGCATGGTGGATTATATACCCATCCAATTAAGGCTTTCCTATTTTGCGGGAGGATTACCGAAATGAAACAGAGATTCTAAGGAAAAGAAGAAATGCTCTGGTCATCATGCGAATGTGCAAGTGAGGCTCTGATGCAGAGAAGACAACCACCGCCACGTTTTTGAGCACGATCTTCTCGGTGCTAACTGAGACTATCTATGGCGAGCGCTGAGTTGGAAATTAGTGAGTGAGCCCAGGTTCCTGTAATGCAAAAATAATCTGGGTCGAACTCAAATGCAACAGTTCTTAGTTGTGCCATCTTTTGCAAGACTGATTTCGCGTTAAGAGAAAATATACAGAGCGTATACCTGAGATGTAGGTTTCGCTTCTTACTACTCATGAAAAAGGGAGGGCCGGCGTTGGAAAATTAAGATGTTGGGATGAAACAATTGGTGGAAGACAATGTTGCTGTGGTCTAAAATTTGTGGGGAATTACCACGAACTAGAGATGCAGCATTGTATGGAAAAACATTTGACCAGGACCCAGGTACAGGAATGCTTTTTTGATGGGTGCGAAAAATGGGAGGCATAAAAAGAGGATTTTGATAATGCTGAGCATAATATGAGGGGTAAGTTATGTTAAAAAACGAAATCAATGGTCCTGAGAAACTATTTGAATTATGAGTACATATTATTATTTGGGTGTCTGGCTGGCTGTGTGGTTGGAAAAATTGTTTGCAACATTGTGTACTAGCATATTACAGGCTGATGTTTAAGTGGGCTTCCAAACTGTGGTGCCTTCTTTTAATTAAGAATCCGGACAGGAATAGGTAGAGATCTCCCCGGACTATCACTCAGACGTCAGTGGTCTGGCACGGGAACAGGATGAAAACGATACAGTTTTATTAACTAAGTCATAATTGTGAGCCATGGAGGTCGACTGCGACTCTAGTGTTAGTCCATCTTTACTGCTAAGGTCAAGCGATCCGAAAAATTGGTAGCAACACTTGAGCAATTATCGATGCCTGGAGATGGTTCAAAGTGGGACGATTGAACTATATCAGTGATAATGTACTCAGATGAAGAGCTAGATGGAACTGGGACCGCTGCAGATATGGCGAAATGTTCGTTGACGCCAGGTGAAGAAAGCGCTTTAGAAGCAAATTGCAGATGTGTAGAATTCTGTGATGGCTTTGCGCTTGCTAATGAAGAGGAAGCTGTGCGTTGCATTGGCGTTTTATCCCAACTAATAAAAAGCTTATTTCCTCTAAGATATTGAGATATTGTAACTGAGACATGGGCATCAGCTTCCGTAACTGACTCCGAACTCACTCTTCTAGGCTATACTTGCATTCGAAATGATCGTACAATACAGCCGTGGTGGGGGCAGGTGCGTCCACGTTAAGCAAACACTTACGATTCTGCCGCTGGACCTCCCGCATCTTTCCGCAGTAGAAGGCGTCTGCTGGCTCCAAGTTTCACTAAAAAATAAGTTTTCCTTACTCGTTGGTTGTCTCTATCGCCCTCCCAACGCCAATGTGAATTATGGTCGTTTGTTCTCACAGATACTTCATGCTGCGACCGACTTAATCTTTGAGTATCAATTGGTTGCGGGTGACTTTAATCTCCACGAAGTCCGCTGATCACCGGCCTTCAGACCCCAGATTGTTCGATCACATTCTTGAGGCTCTGGATGTTGGGATGTTGACTCAAGTCGTCGATATTCTCAATCGAGGACCAAGCATACTTGACCTAATTTTCTGTAAAGGCTGCATGCCTTCGTCAGTGTCATCCCTAGGCCCACTCGGGGGCTCAGACCATGACATAGTTGTTTCAACGTTGAAACTCGAGGCTGACAAAAAGTTTTCCCCAAAGTATAGCTTTGTCCGCGATTTCCGATCATCACGCTCGACCGAATGATTTACAAACCTAAATTCCTACGATTGGATTGATTCCTTCCTTAATTCGTATGTAAATGTTCGCACGGCAAAACTGTACGAAAATTTGCATCCGCTTATTTCTCATTTTGTCCACCGTAACAAAATTATTAATATTGAGGATGAGATTTTCCAAATCTTATCATTTCATGGCAGATTGCGCAGAATTAGATAATTCAATTTAATGCCAATTTACTGGGATTGTCAAGGGAAGCGTTAAACATAAATCCGACCAGCATTGAAAAAAACTCCTGAGGTAAAGGAATAAAAATATAGTTGATGGTGGTTTTTACGGTTTAGAGGGTTCAGAAGAAAAAACTGCTGGTGGTAGATTTTCGGCCGTCAAGAAGGGGGGGGGAAGTTGCACGATATCGGACATTATCGGACGTCAATTCCTTTCATGAAGTTGGGGACAGTCATAGTAGAGGCGTTGGGGAACAGCTGGTGAGACCGGCCATACTGTTCAGAGACCACAAACGCCATCGCTACGGTAGAGTCGATCAGCAAATTCAGCACCCAAAATTTGTGGGAGCTTTTCTGAATGCAAAAATCGAGTAATAGTTCTCTTAAATAAAGGATAATTTTGCAGAGTTTTCACACTCATGGGTAGTTTATCCCAAATAGCAATTGCATTTACAGAATAGAACCGACGATATTTAACAGTACATGCCAGAGGCGGAAATAAAAAGACCTCACGGTGACTATTACGTCGTGGGTGGATATAATTCAGTATAATTCAGTATATATGAGGGATAGAGGCAGAGCCTTGGAAAACCCTATTTACAGATAGACGTATAAAAAAAACATGCAGATATTTACATAGCAGTTATACCAGCCATTGATATCATGTAAATGTTTGACCATCAAGCATAAGTTTATCTAGTCTTCTTTTGAAGGTCTCGACGTTTTCTGCTAAGACAACGGAGTTCGGCAATTTGTTCCATCCCTCAACAAGCCGGTGAGAGAAGAATTTGGCCCGCAAATCGAGTCTGGCATGTTTCATCTTCAATTTGTATGCGTGCCCTCGGAGATTTGTCGTCCGCGCCAGTTCGAAGAAGTCGTCAAACTGAAGAGCACAGTCTAGCCCTCGGACGATCCTGAAGGCCATGATCATGTCCCCTCTGTACTGTCTATAAGAGAGAGGAAATATTTATGATGTCTTAAATAGGATGTCTTAAATAGGTGAGTGGGTTAAATGTGTGTTTATATAAGAGTTTAAATAGCAAAACTAGTCCCTTTTGTAATCTACGGAACCATAAAGGATCAAGGCTTGTAAGACGGCAACGTTCTTGGTAAGGCAAATGTCGGTGATCCGGGGTTACAATTCTCTTGGTAAAAAAGTGTTGAACGGATTTTATTTTCTTCCGCTCAGTAGCACGCATGAGGCTAAATGAAAACGAACAGTATTCCAGACCAGGTCTAACGTACATGTTGAAAAGGCGCATTCTAATGTCCCTAGTTTTAAAATTTCGGAGGATAAACCCGGTCGTTCTACGTGCTTTGGAGACTATCAAGGCACAGTGCTCCGAAAGATTGAGGCTCCCGGATTATGATACACTCAGATCCCAGGCACATTTATGGCGTGACCTTCAATACTTAGTTGAGGTTGGCGGTCGTCGCCAACCACCATGACTGAGCACTTATGCCAAGAGAGAGAGAGGAAGGCGCCATGTGCGGCACCACTGGGCGAAAGCCTGTAGATCGCTCTTAAGGAGCTCAAGCACGATGTCATGATCTGTTGGCTTATATCGATATACAACTTTAAGGTCCTCGGCATACATGAAAGGCTTACCATCTTGAAATAAATCGAGTACATCATTAACGAAAAGGCAAACTAAAAGTGGGCCGAGTATGTACGTTCCCACGTATGTTCTCCCATTTTTATTGGCACATTTTACCACATACTTTGCATTTTTTGTGTGCCTCGGAAAACTATGGCCTTCTGTTTTCCCCCAACCTTCGTACTATTTGTTTGAATCTCCGGTTTTTCATCCCGCGCAACTTGACGCTGCCCGTCTGACTATACGCCATTTTTCTGACTGTACGCCTGGAGACATTTGGTTGTAAGTGTAACATTTAAATCTTGCTAATCATGCCAATTATAGAACCGTGTTTCCGTACAATTCTGCACTTATTTACATCGTTTCCACGTACGGACTGCACGAAGTAAGGCGACCGAATCTAGACAGGCTAAAGAGCAGCTAGGTTCAACAGACTCTGTGCGAGTTACGCGAACAGGCAACAAATAGCAGTCGAAAGTACTCCACAGTGTACACTACCCTGAATGACTCCACTCCTCACACGTGTAGGGTTGGAAATAGTAGTGGAAATCTTAACTGGTTGTGTACGAGTGCCCAGGTAAGAGGACATAAGATTCAAAAGTTTGTCACCTATTCCGAAAGAGGACAGTTTCAAGAGAAGAAGAACATGGTTAATACGATCAAAAGCCTTAGTGAAATTGAAATATGCTGTGCAAAGTGCAAAACCATTCTTCCAGGAGTGGATAACATAGTCAAAGAAAGAGAGTTGACAGGTGTCACAAGATCGAGCTTTGAGGAATCCATGCTGTGCAGCACTCAGCAAGTTATTCACTGTTAAGTGACACATCATCTTATCTTTAATCAATGTCTCTAAGATCTTCGAAACTGTGGGGAGGGTGTTCATTGGCCGAAAGTCATCAAATGACGTAGATTTGCCGTGCTTAGGAACGGGCAAAATGTGTGATTCCTTCCACAAGGTAGGATAAGTTTCACTTTCAAGAGCGAAATTAAATATCTTGCATAAGAGGGATAGGAAAATCGCATGTGCATCGGCTTCTAAAATGCTTACTGGGACACCATCAGGTCCTGGACTATAAGATTGACGAACACGCCGAATCGCAACAGTCACATCCCACAGAGTGAAAGTTATAGTTTCTAGAACTGCCCCGGTCAATGACTGGATGGTCGGAAGCGGAGTGGTTGAGTCTTCAATGAACGTTTTGGACAGGAAATCATTGAAGCTATCCGCGGTTAACTGGGCATCAACTATGGGATTTCCGAGAGCGTCTCGGAGGATGGGATGCTGCGTCTTTCGGTGAGTTCGTATTTTTCTAGATAAAAGTTTGGAAATACGCGTTTAGATTGTCCAAAATTTTCATACAGCCAGCGGGTCGTCCGACCGTGGAACTCGCATCCAAGCAAGATGCTGACGGCCGGCACCATTTTTGTGTTTAAAAGAAAACTTTTTATAATTCAGTATAATTCAGTATATATGAGGGATAGAGGCAGAGCCTTGGAAAACCCTATTTACAGATAGACGTATGAAAAAAACATGCAGATATTTACATAGCAGTTATACCAGTCATTGATATCATGTAAATGTTTGACCATCAAGCATAAGTTTATCTAGTCTTCTTTTGAAGGTCTCGACGTTTTCCGCTAAGACAACGGAGTTCGGCAATTTGTTCCGTCCCTCAACCAGCCGGTGAGAGAAGAATTTTGCCCGCAAATCGAGTCTGGCATGTTTCATCTTCAATTTGTATGCGTGCCCTCGGAGATTTGTCGTCCGCGCCAGTTCGAAGAAGTCGTCAAACTGAAGAGCACAGTCTAGCCCTCGGACGATCCTGAAGGCCATGATCATGTCCCCTCTGTAATGTCTATAAGAGAGAGGAAATATTTTTAGCTTCTCCAGCCGCCTCTCATAAGGTAAGGTACTTAATCCGCCGACTAGCCTGGTCGCTCTACGTTGTACGTTCTCCAGTAGGGTGTAATCTTTTTTCGTCCCGGGACACCATGCCTGGACACAATATTCCAACATTGGTCGAACGTATGCGCCAAATACTCGGCCGAAAAGTTCTTCATCAAAATTGACGAAAGATCTTCTAATCGCGCCTAAAATACCCATAGCTTTCTTTGATACCTTAGCGCAATGAGATGATGGTTTCAGAGTTGACGTCATCCACACACCGAGGTCTCTTAACTCGTTGACTGATTCGAGTTGGTGACTTCCTATAAAGTACTGAGATTCAAATCTCAACGGCTTCCTGTTGCTCGAACGTAATCGGATAAGTTGGCATTTGTTACGATTGAGGCTTAGTCACCACTCATCACACCATTTTTGCAAGCGATTTAAATTGTCTTGTAATTGTACAGAATCTTGCGGCTTCTCTATTGATTGCCACAATTTGAGATCGTCGGCAAACATAACTCGCTCGCAGTTCAGACAGTCCAGGCAGTCGTTCACATATATAAGGAACAGAATTGGACCCAGAACGCTTCCCTGCGGAACGCCACTGTGCACGGATGCCCATTCCGATTTAGCGTTCCCGATACACACACGCTGAGATCTGCCCGTAAGAAAATCGGCTAGCCATTTCAGAAGATTTCCATTCACACCCACTTGACGTAGTTTACATATAAGTCGTCTGTGTGGAACACTGTCAAAAGCCTTTTTGAAGTCGATGTACACGGCGTCGACTGATAAGCCCATGTCAATTGATTTCGTCCAGCTTTCCATGGATACTAGGAGGTTGGTGAGACAAGATCGACCGCTTCGAAATCCATGCTGATGTAGACTGAGCAAGTTGTTTTCTTCGAGGTGCCGCATCAGCTCCGTTTTTATTACTCTTTCCATCAACTTGCAACAGATGCTAGTGAGACTCACTGGTCTGAAACTATTTGGGGCTGTTCTCTCGCCACCTTTATAAATGGGGCTTATATTTACTTTCTTCCAGTCGGTAGGCAAAGCCCCGGTCTCCATCGATGTTTTGAAGATCTTGGATAACGGAGAGGCCAGTTGGTCTGAGAGCTCATTCAGAACTTTAGCGAACACGCAGTCCGGACCAGGGGATTTAGTGGGCTGTACTTGCCTCAAAGTTTTCCTTACCGTGTCTGTTGTGAAGCCCACCGTGCTAATTGTACTGTTGGATTTGACATTTGGGGGGTAAACTCTTTCATCAAAAGCCGGCTCCTCAGTGTACACAGACGTGAAGAAGTCGGATAACAGATTCGCCTTATCTGAGTTGTCAGACAACGTATTTCCCTGGCGATCTTTTAGGCAGGGAATGCACTCCCGGTTGCGTTTTGCTTTATTCACGTATCCAAAGAATTTTTTTGAATTTTGCGGGATATTTTTTAAAAGTATTGACTCAAATTGTGTCCGTTGTCTCCTCAACAGATTCCGACATAAATTCCTCTGTTTTTTGAAGTCAGCCAAATGCTCTGGTTGTTGAAAACTTGCGTACTTTTCCCAAAGTCTCCTTTTCAATTTAAGATTCTTCTTTATTCCTGACGTCACCCACTCTGGTCGGGATGTGCGCGGCTTCCTCTTCAGTGGGCAACAGCTCTCTACTAAGTGCTGCATTATGTTCTTGAAGAAGAGCCAATCGCTTTCTGGGTCAGGTCCTTGTGCTGCATTCCAGTTCACCTTCTGTAACAGGTTTTTCATTCGGGTAAAATCCCCCTTCCATACGTTTCTTTCCTCAGCAGCTCGAATTTCGGGTACTGAAAAATGACTATACTCCCAAACAAGAACGCAGTGGTCACTTCGGCCAAGGGGCGGGTGCGATTCCAATCCGAGAATGGAACTATCATCACTGGTGATGATGAGGTCCAAACAACTGGACTGCTGTCCATCCCTGAATCGAGTGTTCACTTTAACGTGTTGGGTAAGGAACTCAGTTGTGATCAGTTGCATAAATTTCTGTTCGAAGGAGTTTTCTGATCGCGTGCAATACATCAAATGCCAATCTATGTCTGGACAGTTAAAGTCACCAAGTAGCATTATGTGTTTGCTCGTCTAGTTTTCAACTGAAGTCGCCTTTACAGCATGACTATGCGCAGCCATTTTTGTACAAAACTCTCCGCAATTATTTACAGCGACATTATGCACTACCTTATGATTACGACTGAACTGTGACTCGATCACATTGTACATGGCTTCAATTTTTTGAGTACAAATCTGCCAAATCACTGTACATAAATAGGGTCATCAAGGGCTCTGCCTCTAACACGTAAGCTCTCGGCTCTTGTAAGTAAACATGGCCTAACTAAACGTAAGTCAGAAGCTTTACCTAAATCTAAGTCAGATGATATTACTAGTCAGTCGTCACCCGTTGTAATTGGTCGGCAGCTTAATCTGTCTGCACTTGACCACTGCAATGACTTTATGCTAAAGTTTGGCTGTTTGCTGACAATTCTTGGACATTTATTCGACGGGAACATCTCCGATATTCCCTCTGAATAGATAGATAGATTATTTTTATTACAGACCCGTCGGGGTCCCATCAAAGCAAGTTAAAATAAATTGGCATGAGAGTTTTAGACGAGGTAGGCCGAATCTTTACAAAATGCAATTCATAGTTTCTGAATTAGAAGTCAATTGAGAAACATGATGATTGAGGGGTGAAAAAAACTCCTTGGAAAAAGTTAAAAATGATTGGAAGAATGTAGGCATCTCGACTCACTTGTTCACCTGATCGCCAGTGAATCTAGTGATAGACAGAAGCGTTCTTACAATATCCTGCTAAAAATGTTCCTCGATCTGCTCGGCCAATTGATGTTGCGACCAATTTTCTGTATTCATGTGTTTTCAACTAAAAAATAGCCGATGCCAAACGCTGCCCTCAGGTCTGCAGATGGAAAAGTGGAGATTGATGACCAGGTTAAAGCGTCCCTCTTTTCCGACTTCTTTCAGTCCGTCTTCACCCAAGAACCTAGTGCTATATTTGCCCATCCATCCATTCGCCAACCAACCTCTCCTCCCAGTACCCTTCCCCATCCTATCCCCTCCCTACCCTCCTTAACCGAGGAACCACTCTTTTCGTCGACCATAGTTAGG